CTCCCAGTTTTTATGAAATAGGCGATGATACATATCTATATAGCATAAATAATACTGCGAATAGTTGTGATTTGTTCTCGTGGAAATAGAAATTGAGTTATATAGACATTCTCCATTGTAGCTTTTTACTTTGATAAGCATTTCTGAACTTTTATTCCTTCATCTCCTTCCTCACCTCATTCTCTCTAACAGACCATGGTCCATCATCATTCACCTACTCAGCTGCTGTCTCGTCCTACTTTATTCACACTACTATCTTTTTTAACTTCTGAACCGACCACTTCTGATTATTGTCCTACTTTCAATAACCCACCTTTAAATTCTTCCCTTGACCCAATCCATTAAATCTCCTCATTTTGCAAATTCCCCCCTTCGACCTCTTCCCATATTACTGCCTTCCCTGAATTACCCCATGCTATTATATTTTATGACTTTTCAAAAAGTAATTGCAAAATAAACTGATTAAAGCTGATAAATCAACGCCGTCATCTGTTCATCTATTAAATTATTATAGCAAACGCCAAGCCACGAAATATTACAATTTCTCTCGCTTACACCGCGTGAGATGATAGAATACGAAAGATATTCACTGTTTCTCTTACGCATTTTAACTTTCGCCTAAGAGCTCAACAATTTCAAAGTGCGGCAGAAAGGGACAATGTGTAAAACAAAATCAGGACGGAGGGCGTTACTCAGAAGACTCGACCAAATCTCAGTAAGGGTATGTAAAGGTACAGAAATCCGTAGAGGAATCGCCATGAACGTGTTGAGAAATGAGGAAAAAAAATGAGGAATAAACGTTATTCAAAGTGAATGTTGTCGAGAGGACAGAATGTAAACCACAGGACTTGAAGCGAACCCCCCCCCCTCCCCAAAATATAACCAAATGAAGAAGAGGATAGGTCGCATAATAATAGGGAGGAACACTTGCTAATGAAGCTGAAAGCTGTACTCAATAACTTCGCTTCAACTGGTCATCAGGGCTTGACGGGTAGTTTTCAATGAAAATACTAATTGGAAGGAATGGAAGACTTGGGCTGCATATATCATCTGAATGAGTCCTTGAGAGGGGCTTAAGTAGACAATTATATGAAACCAACTAAAGGACTTCGATGAGTCCCCAAGAAGTTCAGCACGGAAAGCGAGGTATGACAATGTGAGATGCCAATGGGACAATATAATTATGAATTATCATTAGTCCCATATTTTATACTTTTTTTCAAATTACTGACAAAACTAATGTTTATATAAACTGTTACAGATTCCTTTAAGCTATTCCGGGTTCGATTTTAGTGTGGTCAGCTTAAGCCGCAATGACGCGAACTTGCATTTGTTTCTGCCTTCTAGTTGGGATATCGGCCTCTAGATAGTAAAGAGGCAGCGTTAACTTCTAGATCATTTCCCATTTAAAAATAAGTGTAGCATTAAAATTGTTAAAGCAAGGTCGGCTATAGTTTTCATTAAATAATTTGGAAGACCTTAAACGTTGTACAATTGTGCGTCTCATACAATTTCACTTAATTTTACTGCTCCAATTATTATGACATAACAATGTTTGTCTGGATTAAGACCTAAAAGTACTATAAATAACCCACAGGAAAGGAAAATGCAAATAGAACTTAACATTACGATACCCATTAAACCGAGTTTGTTGCCGATCTCACTGGTGGTCTGGTTAGAAGAAGAGAGGGTGGCGATTTGTCAAAGTTACTCCGTCCCCCTCCCCCCTCCCAAGGAGGCTCAATAACACCATCAGCGGACAAAACGGAAAGTTGGATGATGAAAGCTTAACAATGGGCAGCATTCAGTAAATGAAAGCATTACTCATAAAAAAGTGTTCAAAAAAATAGACTTTTTTTAACTCTTTTTGACAAAAGATTTAATCTGTTGAATCCTCCAATGTCATGTCAAATTGAAATACTGGGCATTGAAAGATGGCTAGTATTCTAAATTTATTGAATTTGTAGAGTTTCGTAGTTTTGAGTCATAATTCTATTTAATAATTGACGGTGCGAATTTCGTTAAATTTCCATTAATTAATGAAAAATTTAATGTTTATATTTCATGTTCTGCTTTGGAACTACTCTGTCCAACTCAAAATTTACGTATTTTCTTGTGTTAATATGATACTTTGGGAAATAAAAATCCATGATTCGAGTTCATTTGGACGAGTTGACAATGGCTACTAGCTTTTAACGTCACTTGTGCTCCAAATGATTGAGTTCTCCCATTACTTCCTTATCACAGTTGACTTTAACTATTTATTTATCCGTGTGTTGGTTTGCTCTACTGGTGACGTGGAGACCACAAATTTTCTTTCACAATACAATATGTTAAATTATTTTATTTAAGGTCTAACGAAACATCAGTGTTTGTACCTATTACACCTCAAATAAAAGTAGAATATTATCCTTTGAGCAACAAGAATTTACACGTCTGACCGCTGCCCACTTCCAGTCTTATTGTCGAAGTAGGCAGATCTAAGAATGTGGGTAAAAATTACTCTACAGTTCAAAAGAAAACTGTTTAAGTCGCAAAGGTCGAGAAGTTTCCCATTCCACTTAAAGGATAAAAGGGTGAAAGGATAGTCTGAATCAAATGGGTTAGGAACATCTTTAAACACTTTAAAAGATTCTCCATTCTTAAAATCCCTGCCTATTTGTCAATAAAGTAGAAGAAACTGCTCTAATGGTTGCTATCTATCAAATCATTTAATTTATTTCCTTCATTTGTCCATTATTAGAATGCAGTTCGTATTTCTTCAATTAGGTTTTACTAGCAAAATATAAGTAATATATTTCACATAGATTTTCTTTTCGAAGTTAAGCACTCAGCCATGAACGGAAAATTTGTCAAAAAAAATTTACTAATACGAGTATTTTAGCAGGGCAAAGGCAGTTTTTTTATTGGTTGGAGGAAATGTCTACCCAAAAGTAATCAGATCATAAATTAAAAGGTCAAGAATTTCCTCTACAATATTGGAAGTACTCAACTTGAAAATTAGATTACCAAACCAAGTTCCTTCTCATAAGTTATCAGCTTACAACGTTTTAACAATTATATTCCAACAAATTTGCCGGAGGTGTAGAAATCAAATGTTGAAATAAGGAAGCCATGGAAATATCAACAACGATTTCTGAATTGCTGATATGAAGTGATGATTTATCTAAACTGCCACAAAAGCAGCATGATTCCGTAACTAAAGTCTTATTAAACATCCTTAGTAGTGAGGGAAGAAACTATTTTTTAAATGCATAATAACAACATTGATAAAAACCATTGAAACTGCTTAAACAAAAGAAGGAAATTCTACGAATATGCATTGAAAGTGCCTTGATTACAAATTCCCTCAAGAACTTCAAAGTCGTGAAAATCGGAAAGATTTTGACCAACTCGAAGTGGATTCACATGAAACTTAAAGAGATTAATATTATGGGCTACTCAGGTTAATGTAAATTTGACAAAACATTAGTAACATAGTGTCCAATGTTTGAACATTTACAACTTGCGCCTTGTTTACATCAAGATGGGCACTAAATGTCTGTAAATGATTAACTAACCCTGTCAAAAATGATTGCCAAATCAAGATAAATAAAGGTGGATTTTTGGTCTTTAGCGTGATACGGCAATCACCTTCCATTCCAATACTCCCAGCGATTTTGCTAATTCAAAGAAGAAGCATCAGCAAGTACAATTAGTGATAGTGAGTGGACGATTTAGATCTTTCTCTGAAGTAAAAATTCAAAATAAGCCGTTTCCTTTTGTAAATAATGCATACATATTAAAAGTTCCGCTAAAATTCAAATATTATCCTCATATATTTAAAACTCTATCAGAATTTTAACAGCTGAGGGCCCTTCAATTTGATAGCAGTTTTAAATGATGAGGAATTCATATTATGAAGAAAAAAGGAGATTTCCAAACGAAGAGTCAATATTACTGGTAAAGAATCATTATTTGTAACACGTCTGCAAGACAATTTTTAGGTTAGAAATGCATGGGAATAAAAAATACGCTTCATTAAGTGAGTAGGGGTGAACTGAATGAGGTGGTGCAGAGAGGCAAACTGGGCGAGAGAGGGAGAGGACGTGGAGGGGAGGGTGGAGGGGAGGGTGGAGAGTGCCCTACATCCCAAAGGGAAGACTCAGTATAGCGGATAGATTTTTAGTAAGATTCATTTAAATGGATTATCCAACTAGCAGGAGTGTAAAATATACAGAAGGGCACACGATGATTCTCGACAAGGAACCCGAGATCACATCAGGATTATATACTTCACGTTCACCCAGTCTTTAGGTCGCAGCAGCATCATACATTTCAAGAGCCATAATGAAATAGAGATAATGAGATCTCGAAGATTAACAATGACCTAAATAAAACCTTTGAAAGCACAATGGGATCCTCCCTTTTGAACAGAAGGCAAATAAAATTCTAAAATTTGGAAGTTCATGCAAGATGGGATTCCCGGTTAATTGTCTGAAGTTTAACATTTTAAGTGTAATTAGTCGACTTTACTGGTCTGATTAAGCAAATAATTAAAGTGCTATGGTGTTTCATTTCTTGTAAACCAACTGCGTTGATGATAGCTGTACATCGGTGATTTGCAAATGACCAGTCAGTGACTGGTAGGTTAATTTCTGGTCAAGTGCACGGACTGGTTAAAATTCAGCCAATAGGAAATAACTAATCCCCGGAAGCGCGTATAAATTTCACCTTCTTTTGTGCCGACTAAATCTTTTTTAAATATGAGCTCTTTATTCAATATTGATAGAATCCTTAATGAGGATCTAACTTGCCTGAATAGAGATAGTGGATCTCAAGGTAATTGGTTCATTTTTTATTTTATTTGCCATAAACCTTCAATTTTAAAAATTTATGTTCGGACCAAACTTATATCACTGAAATAGGTCGCTATTTTCGGCATTTTATTTATTTTTTATTTTAAAATAGTTGATTATTAATTATATATTTCAGATCGCACAGATTCAATAAATAAGGAGATGGATTCGCATAGTAATAAACAATATTTTTCATTACCAGAAATTGATTTCTGCTTTGATCAATTTTCCATTCTGACTTCTCAACACTTTCAAAAGCAATATTCCGAATTTATGCAGAGCCAAAATTCAACGATTCTGAACACTCAAGAATTTGGTCATTCTACAATTCAACAAAAGAAGGAAATATTCAAATCTTCAGTGAATGGATACCCTAAAAGAAGAGTTCTCTTTACCAAGTTCCAAATAAAGGAATTGGAAAGACGCTTCAGGGACCAGCATTATCTCAGTGCTGAAGAGAGAGAAACTCTTGCCGATCGAATTGGTCTAACACCTAATCAGGTACTTCAATAATCTATTTTTCAAAACAATTATTTGTTATTTCTCACTTCTCCTTCTCCCAGGTAAAGATATGGTTCCAAAACCATCGTTACAAAACGAAGAAAATCGGCTTTAGCCCGGAAACAAATCGCTTTAGTCTCCCAGACTTCCCAGCAACTTTGGTTTATAATCAGCCTGATACATTCAATGAGCATTTGAATAGGATGTTTGAATCAGCCCCTCCTCCTTTTGAACAAAACGAGAAACTCTGGCACAGAATTCCTCAGGTTTATTCGCTTTTGGATTCTGAGAGACAATTGCACTGAGTACAAGTATATTAACTATGTGGATTTATAGATCTGTTCATACTGTTTTTGAATGCTTTCAAGTGTAAGAAATTAGATTCCGTTGTGATATTGTTTATTTATGTGCAATAAAGATGAATTTGTCAAATAATCTTGAGCATTAGAGGATAAAAGTTGCAACTTCGCGTTAAGGAAAGCATTTTTTGGAAAATTTCAAAAACTGAACTTTCCTACACATGTTCACTTGGACCTCATCTATTGTGAAGTCGTCCGCTCCGATATCCGTTTTGTACAAAATAAGTTGGTTTGAAAGTTGAACTTATATCAATAAGTTCAATAAAATGGAGTTAAATACCTGGGGGGTGGGAAGGGTGGAGGAGACAATTAATTGCAAAGGAGTGAGAAGTGAGTCATTCAATAAACGGAAAAGGGGATGAACGCTGGGTTTAGTCTCGGAGCAACCACTTGGTGAGAACGCAGGTCAATACAACAGAATGAATGTATATTCAGGCTAATTCAAGAATCTTGGCATCTATTCCCAAGTTACCTTAGGGAGAAGATTTAAACAGCAAATCCCAAAATTAACTCTGATTTCTATGTATATGACTGCCAAGGTTGTGGAATTCCTGATCTCTCTGACAAACTCGGGCTCAAGCGTGCAAGAACACTAACCGATGACAACTTGTATTTCCATTATTTGGTATCTACTACTGTACCCACGCATTGGATGATAACCCTACACATCCTTATTACTTTATGATGACAATTTGACCATTGCTCACCGGTGCACAAATGGCATGAAATGTGTCAGCTTCCGTATCATACCTCTGTGGCCCTCTTTACCACAACTCGGGTTTCAATCCTTCACTTACATCTTTCCTTCCATTTCTCAATGACTCACACTGCCTGTACTGTCTCCCTTCCCCCTTCACTCCACTACGTTTTTCTCAAACACAAGCCTTATTATTCTCATCCTGTCCAATTTCCCTTTGCAATAAGTTTGGCCATCTGAATAATTTTGCTTTTTAAATGCTCAATTCCTCAGGAGTAAAATTAAAATTTCCATTTTTAAGCATAATCTCATAAAACTGTTTGTTTAAGAGACCGTTTTTCCATGTCACAAATTGTTTCTTTGTTTCACCATTACCGATAATGCGCTGAACATAGAATAGGTTCGAACGCCAAGACTTCAAGTCCCTCCCCCCCCCTCCCCGCCCGCCCCCAACATAATGCGCCCATTTTTCTCTCCTCAGTTCACACTTCCTTCTGGTAAAGTGCTCCAATAAGTGAATTTGCAAGAGTGCAGCGGTAGCACCAATCAGGTAATCAATAGATCAATTAAATCCTAAGGTTTTATCAGTGCCACTTCTTAGATTGGGACCATACAACTTAAGATTTAACGTTTTCTGAGGAAAGGGGATTGGCAGTTGCATCTAGAAATGTTGGTCTTATTACTAACTTTCGATTAGCATTGCGTTGGCTTTATTATCTTAGTTAAGCCTCCGGCTACTTTTATAACAATTCTCTGTGCCATAAGTGGGGTCGCATTCCTTTAATGTTTTGCAGAATGTAGAAGCAACTTCGTTTTAACGATGTGATAGTGTCATGACGCCTCTATTTGGGTGCACAGAGCGTTTCGCTGATATGCTCCAGGTTTCGTAGTTAATCGATTTTGCCTTCTTTCAAACGAAGTTGTATGCAAGTGGCATGGGTTTGAGTAATTGTAATTTCCATTCGAAACTGATTTGCGTAAATATAAGAGGCAGTCAGTGCAAAAAACTCCTTCCTACCAGCCTCAAGTTCTAAACTCCATTTCCATGACCGGGACTGAGAGCTCAATTACTTGAACGCTGAGCGTTCTACTTCATCACAGATGGGAGGCAGGCGTGGAATTCCGCTGAAAAAATAAGCGTTAATTAAGACATTAATTAAGATTGAGCAAAGGCAGCACAGGTTATCCCATAGTAATAAAAGCATAGTGGTAGGATGTTATTTTAAATTGCCATTAAAAACCATCACTTCTTCTCCTTGACCTTAGTTAAAGTCTTGACCTCATTTTCAAGTAAAACATTTGGGGACATGAGAGCACTTAAGTTGGCACATTAGCTCAATTTGAGATGCTTCCCTTGCTATTCATTCCATAGCGTAAATTATAAAGTTCAGCTACTTTATCGTGGTAGTGGTAATGACCTCAATTGATATTTTACTTGGTTAATGAGACCTATTAATTGGCTTTTGGCAGTACTTATTGCAATACTACTCGTTATAGCAAACATTCGCGATATTTAATCAAGGTGGATCATCTAAGAACGTGGAAATAATGACGTAAGGGGTGCAACGAAGTGCTGTCAAGAAGAACTTGAAACTAAGCTAATAAGTCCCTATGCCTATTTTTTCAATGAAAAAAATGGTTGTATGATGTCAGACGTTCTCGTCAGTGGGTACACATCCATTGCCAATAACTAAAATGGGCAAATACACTGGACAAGTGCGTCTCTAGAGGTCGTTTAGTAAAATACGTGTTTTATCTTTGCGTTAAAGATCTATACATATATTCTCATAGCATTTTGAACTAAAATAAAGAAAGAAAAAACGAAATTTTATTATGACGAGTAATTCAATTAAGAACCCCGCCTATTATATACTAGCATTAAGGTAGAGAATGAGATTCAATTGTTCGTTTTAAGTAACCACCGGCGATGTTTTAAAGTGGCGTTAAAAGCTTCCATTAAGAACACCTAAACAATGCTTCACAACTTTCAAAAGGGAGGAAAGGAAAGAAAGTTGTAGCCTTACTTAGTTGTATCACTTAGTTAAGTAAAAAGAAACGCCATATTCAAGCAAAGTATGCATCATCTAACATACGTGGT